ACACGCCTATCACTTCACACCTTGTACACGCCTATCACTGCACACCTTGTACACGCCTATCACTGCACACCTTGTACACGCCTATCACTGCACACCTTGTACACGCCTATCACTGCACACCTTGTACACGCCTATCACTGCACACCTTGTACACACCTATCACTGCACACCTTGTACACGCCTATCACTTCACACCTTGTACACGCCTATCACTGCACACCTTGTACACGCCTATCACTGCACACCTTGTACATGCCTATCACTTCACACCTTGTACACGCCTATCACTGCACACCTTGTACACGCCTATCACTTCACACCTTGTACGCGCCTATCACTGCACACCTTGTACACGCCTATCACTGCACAGCTTGTACACGCCTATCACTGCACACCTTGTACACGCCTATCACTGCACACCTTGTACACGCCTATCACTGCACAGCTTGTACACGCCTATCACTGCACACCTTGTACACGCCTATCACTGCACACCTTGTACACGCCTATCACTTCACACCTTGTACACGCCTATCACTGCACAGCTTGTACACGCCTATCACTGCACAGCTTGTACACGCCTATCACTGCACAGCTTGTACACGCCTATCACTGCACACCTTGTACACGCCTATCACTGCACACCTTGTACACGCCTATCACTGCACACCTTGTACACGCCTATCACTGCACAGCTTGTACACGCCTATCACTGCACACCTTGTACACGCCTATCACTTCACACCTTGTACACGCCTATCACTGCACACCTTGTACACGCCTATCACTGCACACCTTGTACACGCCTATCACTGCACACCTTGTACACACCTATCACTGCACACCTTGTACACGCCTATCACTTCACACCTTGTACGCGCCTATCACTGCACACCTTGTACACGCCTATCACTGCACAGCTTGTACACGCCTATCACTGCACACCTTGTACACGCCTATCACTGCACACCTTGTACACGCCTATCACTGCACAGCTTGTACACGCCTATCACTGCACACCTTGTACACGCCTATCACTGCACACCTTGTACACGCCTATCACTTCACACCTTGTACACGCCTATCACTGCACACCTTGTACACGCCTATCACTGCACACCTTGTACACGCCTATCACTTCACACCTTGTACACGCCTATCACTGCACACCTTGTACACACCTATCACTGCACACCTTGTACACGCCTATCACTGCACACCTTGTACACGCCTATCACTTCACACCTTGTACACGCCTATCACTGCACACCTTGTACACGCCTATCACTGCACACCTTGTACACGCCTATCACTGCACACCTTGTACACGCCTATCACTGCACACCTTGTACACGCCTATCACTGCACACCTTGTACACGCCTATCACTGCACACCTTGTACACGCCTATCACTGCACACCTTGTACGCGCCTATCACTGCACAGCTTGTACACGCCTATCACTGCACACCTTGTACACGCCTATCACTTCACACGTTGTACACGCCTATCACTTCACACCTTGTACACGCCTATCACTTCACACCTTGTACACGCCTATCACTGCACACCTTGTACACGCCTATCACTTCACACCTTGTACACGCCTATCACTTCACACCTTGTACACGCCTATCACTGCACACCTTGTACACGCCTATCACTTCACACCTTGTACACGCCTATCACTGCACACCTTGTACACGCCTATCACTGCACACCTTGTACACGCCTATCACTGCACACCTTGTACACGCCTATCACTGCACACCTTGTACACGCCTATCACTGCACACCTTGTACGCGCCTATCACTGCACAGCTTGTACACGCCTATCACTGCACACCTTGTACACGCCTATCACTTCACACCTTGTACACGCCTATCACTTCACACCTTGTACACGCCTATCACTTCACACCTTGTACACGCCTATCACTGCACACCTTGTACACGCCTATCACTTCACACCTTGTACACGCCTATCACTGCACACCTTGTACACGCCTATCACTTCACACCTTGTACACGCCTATCACTTCACACCTTGTACACGCCTATCACTGCACACCTTGTACACGCCTATCACTTCACACCTTGTACACGCCTATCACTGCACACCTTGTACACGCCTATCACTGCACACCTTGTACACGCCTATCACTTCACACCTTGTACACGCCTATCACTGCACACCTTGTACACGCCTATCACTGCACACCTTGTACACGCCTATCACTGCACACCTTGTACACGCCTATCACTGCACAGCTTGTACACGCCTATCACTGCACACCTTGTACACGCCTATCACTGCACACCTTGTACACGCCTATCACTGCACAGCTTGTACACGCCTATCACTGCACACCTTGTACACGCCTATCACTGCACACCTTGTACACGCCTATCACTTCACACCTTGTACACGCCTATCACTGCACACCTTGTACACGCCTATCACTGCACACCTTGTACACGCCTATCACTGCACACCTTGTACACGCCTATCACTGCACACCTTGTACACGCCTATCACTGCACACCTTGTACACGCCTATCACTGCACACCTTGTACACGCCTATCACTTCACACCTTGTACACGCCTATCACTGCACACCTTGTACACGCCTATCACTGCACACCTTGTACATGCCTATCACTTCACACCTTGTACACGCCTATCACTGCACACCTTGTACACGCCTATCACTTCACACCTTGTACGCGCCTATCACTGCACACCTTGTACACGCCTATCACTGCACAGCTTGTACACGCCTATCACTGCACACCTTGTACACGCCTATCACTGCACACCTTGTACACGCCTATCACTGCACAGCTTGTACACGCCTATCACTGCACACCTTGTACACGCCTATCACTGCACACCTTGTACACGCCTATCACTTCACACCTTGTACACGCCTATCACTGCACACCTTGTACACGCCTACCACTGCACACCTTGTACACGCCTATCACTGCACACCTTGTACACGCCTATCACTGCACACCTTGTACACGCCTATCACTGCACACCTTGTACACGCCTATCACTGCACACCTTGTACACGCCTATCACTTCACAACTTGTACACGCCTATCACTGCACACCTTGTACACGCCTATCACTGCACACCTTGTACACGCCTATCACTTCACACCTTGTACACGCCTATCACTGCACACCTTGTACACGCCTATCACTTCACACCTTGTACGCGCCTATCACTGCACACCTTGTACACGCCTATCACTGCACACCTTGTACACGCCTATCACTGCACACCTTGTACACGCCTATCACTGCACACCTTGTACACGCCTATCACTGCACACCTTGTACACGCCTATCACTGCACACCTTGTACACGCCTATCACTGCACACCTTGTACGCGCCTATCACTTCACACCTTGTACACGCCTATCACTGCACACCTTGTACACGCCTATCACTGCACACCTTGTACACGCCTATCACTGCACACCTTGTACACGCCTATCACTGCACACCTTGTACACGCCTATCACTTCACACCTTGTACACGCCTATCACTTCACAGCTTGTACACGCCTATCACTTCACACCTTGTACACGCCTATCACTGCACACCTTGTACACGCCTATCACTGCACACCTTGTACACGCCTATCACTGCACACCTTGTACACGCCTATCACTTCACACCTTGTACGCGCCTATCACTGCACACCTTGTACACGCCTATCACTGCACACCTTGTACACGCCTATCACTGCACACCTTGTACACGCCTATCACTGCACACCTTGTACACGCCTATCACTGCACAGCTTGTACACGCCTATCACTGCACACCTTGTACACACCTATCACTGCACACCTTGTACACGCCTATCACTGCACACCTTGTACACGCCTATCACTGCACACCTTGTACACGCCTATCACTGCACACCTTGTACACGCCTATCACTGCACACCTTGTACACGCCTATCACTTCACAACTTGTACACGCCTATCACTGCACACCTTGTACACGCCTATCACTGCACACCTTGTACACGCCTATCACTTCACACCTTGTACACGCCTATCACTGCACACCTTGTACACGCCTATCACTTCACACCTTGTACGCGCCTATCACTGCACACCTTGTACACGCATATCACTGCACACCTTGTACACGCCTATCACTGCACACCTTGTACACGCCTATCACTGCACACCTTGTACACGCCTATCACTGCACACCTTGTACACGCCTATCACTGCACACCTTGTACACGCCTATCACTGCACACCTTGTACGCGCCTATCACTTCACACCTTGTACACGCCTATCACTGCACACCTTGTACACGCCTATCACTGCACACCTTGTACACGCCTATCACTGCACACCTTGTACACGCCTATCACTGCACACCTTGTACACGCCTATCACTGCACAGCTTGTACACGCCTATCACTTCACACCTTGTACACGCCTATCACTGCACAGCTTGTACACGCCTATCACTGCACACCTTGTACACGCCTATCACTTCACACCTTGTACACGCCTATCACTTCACAGCTTGTACACGCCTATCACTTCACACCTTGTACACGCCTATCACTGCACACCTTGTACACGCCTATCACTGCACACCTTGTACACGCCTATCACTGCACACCTTGTACACGCCTATCACTTCACACCTTGTACGCGCCTATCACTGCACACCTTGTACACGCCTATCACTGCACACCTTGTACACGCCTATCACTGCACACCTTGTACACGCCTATCACTGCACACCTTGTACACGCCTATCACTGCACAGCTTGTACGCGCCTTTCAGTTGCACACCTTGTACGCGCCTATCAGTTGCACAGCTTGTGCGCGCCTATCAGTTGCTCAGCTTGTGCGCGCCTTTCAGTTGCACAGCTAGTGTGTATTTTTGTGTAATTGTTGTGTGTACGTTACACAACACACGGGGCTATAGAAACATACAATATCCTACCTTGCCGTGGAGAAGTGTAGATGATCCGTTCAGCAGATCTGATGGCAAGTCTCCCTTCTGGTAAGGAGAAATTAGCCAGCTGGTGTAGTGTATTCTGTGTGTAGACACTGTGCACCCTCCACTCTGATTTTAACCAGATGAACACTGTGATGTTTGAACTCTCCCCTGCTTGTCCAGTAAAACGAAATAGCTCGACAATTGATTCACCTGTACACAGGGCAGTGCAGCACATTCCACTCAGTCACATGACATGGTGAATATTACATACACATAGTTGTACGTCAGCACCGTTATCAAGCAGACACAAAGCTCCAACATCCTAATTGACGTATTTATGTCTATGACACTGGAGATCCACATGCAGGACCATCCCTGCCCGCACCACTGTCAATATGCAGGACCATCCCTGCCCGCACCAATATCTACGGCTGAAGACAAAGGGCATACATCTTGCTCGTTTGCTTCTGGTCATTCCTGACTACGGGTACATGCAGACCAACACTATCACATAGAGCATGCCAGTATGGTCAAGTACTGCCATCACTTTACATACATCTACGGATGTGCAAGTACTGCCATCACTTTACATACATCTACGGATGTGCAAGTACTGCCATCACTTTACATACATCTACGGATGTGCAAGTACTGCCATCACTTTACATACATCTACGAATGTGCAAGTACTGCCATCACTTTACATACATCTACGGATGTGCAAGTACTGCCATCACTTTACATACATCTACGGATGTGCAAGTACTGCCATCACTTTACATACATCTACGGATGTGCAAGTACTGCCATCACTTTACATACATCTACGGATGTGCAAGTACTGCCATCACTTTACATACATCTACGGATGTGCAAGTACTGCCATCACTTTACATACATCTACGGATGTGCAAGTACTGCCATCACTTTACATACATCTACGGATGTGCAAGTACTGCCATCACTTTACATACATCTACGAATGTGCAAGTACTGCCATCACTTTACATACATCTACGAATGTGCAAGTACTGCCATCACTTTACATACATCTACGGATGTGCAAGTACTGCCATCACTTTACATACATCTACGGATGTGCAAGTACTGCCATCACTTCACATACATCTACGAATATCCAAGTACTGCCATCACTTTACATACATCTACGAATGTGCAAGTACTGCCATCACTTTACATACATCTACGAATGTGCAAGTACTGCCATCACTTTACATACATCTACGAATGTGCAAGTACTGCCATCACTTTACATACATCTACGGATGTGCAAGTACTGCCATCACTTTACATACATCTACGAATGTGCAAGTACTGCCATCACTTTACATACATCTACGGATGTGCAAGTACTGCCATCACTTTACATACATCTACGAATGTGCAAGTACTGCCATCACTTTACATACATCTACGGATGTGCAAGTACTGCCATCACTTTACATACATCTACGAATGTGCAAGTACTGCCATCACTTCACATACATCTACGAATATCCAAGTACTGCCATCACTTTACATACATCTACGGATGTGCAAGTACTGCCATCACTTCACATACATCTACGAATATCCAAGTACTGCCATCACTTTACATACATCTACGGATGTGCAAGTACTGCCATCACTTTACATACATCTACGGATGTGCAAGTACTGCCATCACTTTACATACATCTACGGATGTGCAAGTACTGCCATCACTTTACATACATCTACGGATGTGCAAGTACTGCCATCACTTTACATACATCTACGGATGTGCAAGTACTGCCATCACTTTACATACATCTACGAATGTGCAAGTACTGCCATCACTTTACATACATCTACGGATGTGCAAGTACTGCCATCACTTTACATACATCTACGGATGTGCAAGTACTGCCATCACTTTACATACATCTACGAATGTGCAAGTACTGCCATCACTTTACATACATCTACGAATGTGCAAGTACTGCCATCACTTTACATACATCTACGAATGTGCAAGTACTGCCATCACTTTACATACATCTACGGATTTGCAAGTACTGCCATCACTTTACATACATCTACGGATGTGCAAGTACTGCCATCACTTTACATACATCTACGGATGTGCAAGTATTGCCATCACTTTACATACATCTACGGATGTGCAAGTACTGCCATCACTTTACATACATCTACGGATGTGCAAGTACTGCCATCACTTTACATACATCTACGGATGTGCAAGTACTGCCATCACTTTACATACATCTACGGATGTGCAAGTACTGCCATCACTTTACATACATCTACGGATGTGCAAGTACTGCAATCACTTTACATACATCTACGGATGTGCAAGTACTGCCATCACTTTACATACATCTACGGATGTGCAAGTACTGCCATCACTTTACATACATCTACGGATGTGCAAGTACTGCCATCACTTTACATACATCTACGGATGTGCAAGTATTGCCATCACTTTACATACATCTACGGATGTGCAAGTACTGCCATCACTTTACATACATCTACGGATGTGCAAGTACTGCCATCACTTTACATACATCTACGGATGTGCAAGTACTGCCATCACTTTACATACATCTACGGATGTGCAAGTACTGCCATCACTTTACATACATCTACGGATGTGCAAGTACTGCAATCACTTTACATACATCTACGGATGTGCAAGTACTGCCATCACTTTACATACATCTACGGATGTGCAAGTACTGCCATCACTTTACATACATCTACGGATGTGCAAGTACTGCCATCACTTTACATACATCTACGGATGTGCAAGTACTGCCATCACTTTACATACATCTACGGGTGTGCAAGTACTGCCATCACTTTACATACATCTACGAATGTGCAAGTACTGCCATCACTTTACATACATCTACGGATGTGCAAGTACTGCCATCACTTTACATACATCTACGGATGTGCAAGTACTGCCATCACTTTACATACATCTACGGATGTGCAAGTACTGCCATCACTTTACATACATCTACGGATGTGCAAGTACTGCAATCACTTTACATACATCTACGGATGTGCAAGTACTGCCATCACTTTACATACATCTACGGATGTGCAAGTACTGCCATCACTTTACATACATCTACGGATGTGCAAGTACTGCCATCACTTTACATACATCTACGGATGTGCAAGTACTGCCATCACTTTACATACATCTACGGGTGTGCAAGTACTGCCATCACTTTACATACATCTACGAATGTGCAAGTACTGCCATCACTTTACATACATCTACGGATGTGCAAGTACTGCCATCACTTTACATACATCTACGGATGTGCAAGTACTGCCATCACTTTACATACATCTACGAATGTGCAAGTACTGCCATCACTTTACATACATCTACGGATGTGCAAGTACTGCCATCACTTTACATACATCTACGGATGTGCAAGTACTGCCATCACTTTACATACATCTACGGATGTGCAAGTACTGCCATCACTTTACATACATCTACGGATGTGCAAGTACTGCCATCACTTTACATACATCTACGGATGTGCAAGTACTGCAATCACTTTACATACATCTACGGATGTGCAAGTACTGCCATCACTTTACATACATCTACGGATGTGCAAGTACTGCCATCACTTTACATACATCTACGGATGTGCAAGTACTGCCATCACTTTACATACATCTACGGATGTGCAAGTACTGCCATCACTTTACATACATCTACGGGTGTGCAAGTACTGCCATCACTTTACATACATCTACGAATGTGCAAGTACTGCCATCACTTTACATACATCTACGGATGTGCAAGTACTGCCATCACTTTACATACATCTACGGATGTGCAAGTACTGCCATCACTTTACATACATCTACGGATGTGCAAGTACTGCCATCACTTTACATACATCTATGGATGTGCTAAACCAGCAACAATCAAGAACTGTACAAGACACAGTACTAACTGTAGCAAAGGCGGCAGATCAACACCCAAACAACATGCCCATGCACCGAAAAAAGAAATAATACAGAACCAAACATCGTATTCTGTGTTGTGTGATCTCTGAAGCCCATGTCCAGGCCTTCAAAAAGTCCCATGAAAAGCTCCTCATCGTTCAGCTAGCAGGGATGTCAGTGGGGAACATTATAACTTACACTTGTGTGCGGTTGTGTGGTTGTTGATATACCCACGTTTGCACACACACCGGTCTTCGTTAGGCACTGCCACCAAATTGTCACTGCTATTGCAGTACCCTGTAGCAATGAACACAGAAATACATTACATTGTAACAATGAACACAGAAATACATTACATTGTAACAATGAACACAGAAATACATTACATTGTAACAATGAACACAGAAATACATTACATTGTAACAATGAACACAGAAATACATTACATTGTAACACTGAACACAATGCACTGTCTTTCCACTCTAATGGCTGGCACAGTGGTAACTCAAATTGAGTAGTGCTTGGATTGAATATGTACATGTGTTTTGACGACTAAGATGAGCCATACGAATGCAAAAATGTTGCCTTTAGCCTACTCCGTACGAAGTGCAGATCTTTGGAACAGAACAGCAAAAAGCCATACAGTCATTAGGGTGCCCCTGGGTGGTTTGGCTGATCTTCACACAGGTGCTGTACATGTGGCTGCGCTTGTAGCTCATCATTGTACATGTGGCTGCGCTTGTAGCTCATCATTGTACATGTGACTGCGCGTGTAGCTCTTTGTCGAATATGCTGCTGCATTTGTGTCTGATTGTCGTACCTGCTGCTGCGTTTGTGTTTCTGGGTCGTACATGCTGCTGACCCGTGGTACACCCTGCTGCGCTGTCTTTGAATGCTTGGTACATGCGGCTGCACCGTCTTCTGTCCCCTCCGTACGCACTCGTTCTTGTCTTGTCCCCGTTGTATACGCATTTTCTCATCTTGTCTCCTTTGTATTCGTCCGGTAGCCGTCTTGTCTCCGTCGTATTTGATCGTTTGCCGTCTGTCTCCCTTCCCGTTCGGGACTAGTTGTATCACACACGAGCGCCAATTTCGCCTCCACCGCCCCACATTTTCCCACGTCTTTATAATATATTCCCTTGCCTTGTCTTGTCTCGTCATCTCATGAGAATAAGAACAGAAAACTCTCTCTGTGTACGGAGAATAACTTGGTCTTTGGCTGTGTGGCGTGGTGCGATCACGCTTAAGGAAAAGTTCGTCGGCAGTCTAAGACGACATTCGGCGCCCATAATATATTCCCTTGTCTTGTCTCGTCGTCTCATGAAAGTAAGAGATAATTCTCTCTCTGTAACCGAGAATAACTTGGTCTTTGGCTGTGTGGCGTGACGCGGTTGCGCTAGAGGAGAACAGTTCGTCCCAATCATTGACGACATTTGGCGCCCAACGTAGGGCTCGAACCCATGACCCTGAGATTAAGAGTCTCATGCTCTACCGACTGAGCTAGCCAATGTTGCGTGTTGAGGAACCTGATCCCTGGTCAAGTAATCACGCAATTAGCATGTAATTCCATGCCTGTGTACAAGGGCAAGCTGTCAATTATCACGCCAATGTGCATACATAATAGTATGTCGTCTATGCCCAGTTTTACGCTGATAGGCCGACATGCCTATCCCCGCGGTCACGGTGTACAGTAGATGAGTTGTGCAAAATAAATCCTAATACAAGTTCAAATCAAAACTGGGGTAGAGTCAATCAGACTGCCTTGCTCTGTTCATCGCTCAGTCAGTACCTTGCTGAAATCCTGAGCAGAACTGGTCACACCAAGAGTACATAAAACCAGAGTGTGCAACTCGGGATGGTTCCTGTGGGAGCGTAAATTCGTGCAGTACGTCATTTCTGACGGCATGGTAACTTAGTAAGCCACAGGTACGGTGAAAAGTTGCGTAACCAGTCACGGTGGTGCAAGTCACTGAGTTTGTCCTAATTTCGTTTTTTTTGATACGGATAGCCTGGTGAATTTACTTGCCAGCGGATGTACGCAACGCACGCAGTCACACAAAAGCACCGAAATCCTAAAACAGGACCTCTAAAATCTTGGTTGATTTCCGAGCTGTGGAACATGAAAATTTGAGCTGTACGCAAATCGCGGCTTGGCTGACCTCATCAGGGTGACGTAGTGCATGAACTGGGCTGTTACAGATCTGATACGTACAGTCGCACACTCTGATTTATGTACTCTTGGTCGCACATATACAGTCGAGTTTTGTTTGTTTGTTTGTATTCTTTATTTAGAGTGGGAAGTCCAAAACAGGCCCTAGCCTTATAACAATGGTCACAGTAGTGAGGGAATGCTGTATATCTGTGCATAAGGATTAGTGAGTTTAACAGTGTAACAGTGAGTGTAGTGTGTGTAGGTTTATTTTATAACTCTTTGCATGCTGAGCGCTTTTCACCTGTCCACTGGCTTTCGAGTGCATTGAACCAGCTGGTGGAGTTTGTGCGCACAGAATTTCTGGTTTTTCATCATACTGGGCTTGTTGGAAAGATCCGGACTACTGAAGTAAGAGAATCTATACTGGTAGCTCTCAGCTCCATAGGCACATATCAGTGTCACTTCCACGTCCTCTCTGAACTACTTCACACGCCTCGGAATGGCACAACAACTCGACCTCACCTTCTTGTTCGTCACCTTACTCAACTTCAACCGGGTTTTCACAATTCAAACTGCGCTGAAAAGATGAGATCTGTTATAGACTGCATTCACTTCGTATTGCCGTCGCTGCATGCTGCTCTCTCGCTGCCTCTTCGTACGATCTTATCTCCTTTCGCTTCGTACAATCTTCTGCATTCGCGCATGTCTACAGTATTCTCTCATCATGGCTGCTGGCCCTTACCTGGTTGCTCTGGGTATGCTCGGGCCATTCTCTTGCTTACCTTCATAATGATAACTACTTCAAAGTACCAACAATAATTACTCCTCGTGTTGCTTGTGACTGTCGTGTGCCACAAGCATGCAGTAACGAAGTGTCAGTTACAACAATTGGCGACGAAAAATGGCTAGTAGTTTCAATCTCCACGAGGGTCAGTCCAATCATCTACCTACGTTCGACTCGTCAGGTACTCCTGCGGAGGTTGGCCAACGCTGGAAGAAATGGTTCCGCAGCTTTGAATACATGGCGGAAGGAATGGGTATTTCTGACACTAAGCGTTTTGAGATCTCTTTTACTACATTCCGCAGCCCCAACAATTCAAGATTTATTTCACGATCTCACCGATCCTGCAGCAAATCCTCCGACGAATGACGAGTTCAAGAAAGTGCACGCATGCTGAGTCACCACTTCAAGGCCGAGCCAAACCCTATCTACGAGCGACACTTGTTTCGACAGCTCGCCCCCAAAGCCGGTGAGAGTATCAGTCAGTTTGTTGTACGTTTACGGCAACAAGCTAGATTTTGTGATTTTGGTGATGTCACCAATGATATGATCCGGGACCATGTGGTGGCAACTATGCGAAATGTGGAACTAAAAAAGAAATTGCTTCAAGAATCGAAATTGACATTGGCCACTTGCTTAGAGATTTGTGCAATTTTCTTGTCAACCCAACGTCAAGCATAAGCTATGGGTTCTGAACAAACATTGCTGCCGGTGAACGCCATCGCAAGTAAGGCCTCGTCTACGTCTGGATCTCGTCCTGGCAGTTCTCCTCATTTTGTGAATCGTTCTTCTGCCTCTTCTGTTTCTGATGATCGAGCGTCGTCTGAGCACTTGTGTTATAGGTGTAACCGACCCGATCATCTCGGAAACCACCCTCAATGTCCTGCTCGTGGCAAGAGATGTACCAAATGCAAGAAAGTTGGTCACCTCGCGTCATGCTGTACGTCTCGAGCAACTAACAACATCGACGTCGAACCTGAGGATACAAGAGAGTCTTTTGTGATTGGTGCTATTGGTGAGCAAGTACAGAAAGACCCACTGATTACCATTGATGTCACCATTAACGATATTCCGTGCACGATGGAGGTAGATGCTGGTGCTGGAGTCTCTATTCTCCCTGAATCTGTTTGGAAAGAGAGGTTTTCCCATATCTCTTTAGAACAGAGCTCTGCTTCTTTGCATGCTTATGGTGGACATCCCCTAGTCGTTAAGGGAGAGTATACCGTTTCTGTCTGTCATGAGTCTCATTCGTTCAAAGATCGTATCATTGTCACGGTGCGTAAGAAGAACAACTCTATCCGTCTACTGTAAATCAACAAATTTTGGCCGATAAGAAACTGTGGCCGATCTCGAAATGAAACTTTTGGCCGTCATTTAACTTTGGCCGATTTGGGTTTTCAAAAAAGAAATCGATTGGTATTTGTTGCCCTCACATGCAGCGATGGCTTAATAATGCATCATTTGCCTCTATGACAAATTTTGGCCTGCAATTTACTTTGGCCGGTTGGTACCCAGCGGCGAAATCAGCGAAATTAAATCGCCAGCGAAAATTAGTTGATTTACAGTATGTGCTGATTTCAAGGTTACGATAAACAAGCACATAGAACCTAACCAGCACCCGATTCCGAATCCTACCAACCTTTTGTCTGAATTGTCTGGGGGGTCGGTCTTCTCAAAGCTAGATCTTAGTCAGGCTTATGCTCAGTTACCTTTGGATGAACAAAGCCAGTCTTATTGTGTTATCTCAACGCACAAGGGATTGTTTGCGTTTACTCGATTGCCTTTCGGTGTCAGTTCTGCTCCGTCTATTTTCCAGAAGACCATCGAACAGATCTTAAGTGGCATTCCTGGTGTCGTCCTCTACTTCGACGATATCTTGATTTCCGGCGAGTCACAACAAGATCATGATGACCGTCTCCGTACCGTTCTACAGAGCTTTCAACAAGCAGGCCTTCGTTTGAGCCGCGAGAAATGCGCCGTCTCTCAGCAGCAGGTTAGTTACCTTGGCTTCACTGTTAGTCAGCAAGGCATACAACCCACGAACAATAAGGTTCTTGCAATCATGAATGCCCCTAGGCCAACTGATGTTTCTGCTCTATGTTCTTTCCTGAGGTTCGTTAACTTCTTCGGGAGGTTCATCCCCAACTGCTCCACACTGCTAAGCCCTCCCAATTCTCTCATGAAGAAAGATGCTCCATTTGTGTAGTCTGACGATTGTGAAACCGCATTCTGCAAAGTCAAGCAGTTCCTTGCCACCACTCCGGTCATGGCTCACTATGACCCTACGGTCCCACTGGTGCTGGAGTGTGACGTGTCACCTACAGGTATCGGGGGCTGCCCTTGTGCACATCATGCCTCACCAAT